GGGTCTTCTTGTGGCCCCAGCTGGCCTGGAACTCACTATGTAGACCAGGCTGGCCTTGATCTCACAGAGCTCTGCCTGCCTCCTGCCTATAGGAAATATCACACTTCATAGTAAAACACTGAATGTTTTCCTCATAAAAACAATGTAGAGAACTGTGTAGCTTAGTCCAGGGACACAGCTCAGGGATACTGTGCACATCCAGCATGCATAAGGCCCTGAGTTAGATTCCTGATGCTTCAAAATGAAATTGCAGAGAACAATCAGTATACATAGAAATATGAGAACATATGAAAACCAGCAAAAACTGAAGAAGTCTATAGTCTAGTTAATAGTGTTAAGCCAGCTTCAATTTCATGGTATCAATATCATTTTATAATTATGCCACCCTAGAAAAACATCTGTGACCAGGGTATATGAGAATCTATACAGCATTTTTAAGTAATTTCTTGTGAATCTGTAATTTCAAAATAGAGAACTAAAGATAAGACCTAGGGGAAATCATAGGAGAATGCCACTAGGATACAGTCAGGGAGCTCTCTTCTACAGAACATCAATCAGACACACACACACACACACACACACACACACACACACACACACACCACAGATCAAGTTCCAGGCCAGATATGGTTACAGGGGCTCTGTTTCCAAAAGATCAAATACAAACAAACCAAAAAAGTAGATGCACTGAACGTCATCAGACTTTCAAACTTCTGTTCTCTGAAAGCACCTACTAGATAAGCCATGGACAAAAACAATATCTCTCTCTGTCTCACACACAAGCACACACACACACACACACACACACACAATGCTTACACACACACAATGATATTTTTTTTAATTAAAAAAGGGAAAAAAATCCAGTGATAAATGGGCAAAAGACCTGAAAAGACACTACACTAAAGAAAAGATACACAGGTACTCAATATCATTAGTTTAGGAAAATTTGAATTAAAGAAACAAGAAGATAGGAATAAAAGTCTGTTAAGTGGATACAATTTAAATGTCAGGGAGCTGACAGGGATGCAGAGCCACTGGATTCTCTTATACACTGCTGGTAGGAACGTGACATGGCACTGCCGCTCTGGAAGGTAGGTGTACACGTTCTTATAGAGCTAGGCATACACTTTCCTGTAATTATGCAAAAAGAGAACTCAGAATTTACTCTAGAGAAGGAAAAGTTCACATTCATGCAAAAATCTGTACACTTCACTGTAGCTCTATTCAGAATAGCCAAAACCTGGAACCGACACCACACTCCTTCAGCAGGGGAATGGGCACACAACAGTGATTCCTAGGATGGGATATTACTCAGCAATAAAAAAAGAGAACTTTTGATACACAACTTGGATAAATTCTAAGGGTGATACACTGAATGAAAGAAAAAAAATCTCAAAGGTTACATACGATTCTATTCATAACATTCCTAAAGTTACAAAGCTATACTTTCTTGAGAATGAAGCTATTGAGAGGTAACAGGAGGAATGTTCTCTGTAGTTAATGGAACAGCTCCTTGTGCTGACTGGATTAGTAACTGCTTTAACCCTTGTATATAATAAAATGCCATATAACTATAGACAAAAAGTACATGTAAAATTGTTGAAGTTTTCAAGACTCAAAAAGTTTACATTTTCTTTTTCTGTTGCTGTTCTGTTTCTTTTTGTTGTTGTTTTCCATTCTGAGTAACTTTTCTGTTTAATTTCTATTGAACCATCTCTTAGTTCTGTTTCCCTATGCCATCTCCATTTGATTTTTGTCTGTTGTGTTTGTCAATATTGCTTAATTCCTTAGTTAATTCTAGTAGCTCTTTTTGCAGATTGTTTCTTATTTTCAGTACAACCATTTTATCTTTGCATAGCTACACTGCATTTCTTATATTGACTTTTCTTGCCTTACTGAACTGGGTAGAATGTCTAGGGATTGCCATTTCTATCATGGTCCTTTGGGGAAACATTCCATGCCTCACTATTATCTTAGGAATGGGTTACATGGTGCTCTTACTTGTTTTATTATATATGAATATTGATTTTTTCCAAATATATTTTCTGTGTGTGATTGTCATGTGTTTTTCCCTTTTCAGTTTTTACTGTGAGTGTCACTTACTGATTTTTGTACATTCAGCTAACCTTGCAATCCTGGGATAGACCCTACTCATTACAAAGTACTTCTGTTCTTTTACATACTGCGAGATTCAATTTGCTAATCATTTGTTAAGACTTTTGCATCTGTATTCATAAGAGGGACAATAGAGTGCTAGTTTTGTGTGTGTGTGTGTGTGTGTGTGTGTGTGTGTGTGTGTGTGTGCGTTAAAGCTTTGTCTGCTATTGGGTTAATACTGGCCTGAGAGTATTTTTCTGGAAGAAAGACTTGGGCAAGTTTGTAGAAT